CTGCCAGAAATGGCCTCCCAACCCCCCGTTGGAGCAGCTACGACCTCCTAGCCCCTAAACGCAGCAACAACACCACCAGCCAGCAATCGAGGACTACTTTTTTTAGTTTTGTTTTAATTTTTTTTCAAATTTAAAAATACTTTTTTCCATTGTATATACATTTTCAATAATTCTTTAATTCAATATTCTTTTTTACATTTCTATTTTGAATTTCATTAAATTAATTTTTACATAAAACAATATTAGCAACATTTAAAAGGAAAAAAAAAAATAAATAAATGATAAAAAAATTATAAATTATTGAAAAAAACTAATTTTATAATCTTACCGCGATGGCCTCTACATCTGTTGCACAAGAGTTTGTGGGTTGAATCTCTATTTCTATCGCGTGATAGTTTGGGGGTGGAACATCTACGTTCGTCGCGCAAGAATTTGAGGGTCGAAACCAGTTTTGTTGCTTGGTACGCATAACGACCACCAATTTCATCGCGTAATCTTCATTTTGCGCGACGAAGAGCTTTCCTCCGTCACACAATGCCTGACGTCACAAGCTTTGAATGATAAAATTTGTGCAACACTTTCTTCGCCGCCCAATGTTTTCGGCGACGGAATAGGTCTTTGTGCGACGTTTTCCCCTTCGTCGCCCAATCAATTATTCTTAGTAATGTTAACAATAATGTGGTTCAAACTCACTTTTACTATTAGATTACATATTGATTTAGTCTTTTGATATGTACTTTTTAGATTCATATTATATTTTTGTTTTCATATTTAATGGGCTTTGCCACTTAGTACTACGGTCTAGTGGTATTTTTCTTTACTTGTAAGTGAGAGGTCTTAGATTTGATTTTCGCTAAAAGAGAATTTGAACCACATTATTGCTAGCCCATTGTAAGGTTAGCCCCACTCTCTCACCCCTTTAATGTAGATAATATTTTGTTCAAAAATAATAAAATATATTTAATGGGTTTCTTTTAATGTCTTTCCATTAAATTTTGAGTTTATTATTATGCACAATTAATTCTTTAATTTTATTTAATTTCTTCAAATTATTTTCTTATAAATGTATGTAAATGAGAAAACATTGAAAAAATAAACAGCGACACAACATATTATGGTAAATTAGTGTATCTAAACTAGAAGGTATTGTATCTAATCAAAATTGTAATGAACTATTGTACCTAGACGTCGGTATCTTAATATATTATACTGATCTAGTGCACCTAAAAATCTGCACCAAAATATTTTGTAATGAATTAGTAGCACATAAGAAAATATGCAAATTACATAAGTGCACCGAAAAATTTGTACCTAAATATTTTCTTATATAAGTTACCATAAATTGTTGATGCAAAATGTCAACGAATAAATGCAAATTCAATTGAATTTCAAATGAGTATTAAAATTTACAATATTTTTCATAACATATAATTCACTCACTAAAATTAATCTTGTATCTTGTGTTTCTTGTAACCTAAAATTTTGAGATATAGAGAATGGGTGCGACAAAGAGAAGATTTGGTTAGACAAGATTTCTATACTAATTAGGATTCTATTGATATCCTATGATTTGGCAAATCCTTACTTATTAGTAATAAGGCGGATTGGTGGGACTCTTATCACTATATATAAATAGTCCTTGCTTTCACAAAACAAGTTCTATTATGAACAAATGCTATTATTGTTGGAACACTTCCGTTTGCTGAAAGTAGAAGACTTCTTTGTCATCCTCAAGAGTCATGTCTTCAGTATTCCACATTTAAGTTAATTGTGATCGATTTATCATAATTTTGGTTTATCAAATCCATATCCTAACATCTTTTTGTTGTTCATGGGGTTTCGGAAATTTCCTACCCTACAAACTTACAAAACCACATGAGACCGAAATGACCAATTAATATTTGCATAATTGCATTGACGTCCTTATCTATACTATCAAGTTTCAAAGAATGTCCAAGAATAGTGCGGTCATATTACTCACACCAAAAGTAGCTCTCCCTTAATTCTAATTCGATCCAATCATTTGGAACTAAAAGAAAATCAAGAAAATATAATTTCAGCTATAGCTTCTATGTGTTGTACGTAAGGGTGGGCAAACGGGTAGAGGAACCGCGGGTCGAGGCGTGTAGACCAGGTTTGAGCAGGGTACAGGGTGGGTCCAATTTTTTTTAGAATAAGCAGGGTGGGGTGGGGCCTTAGTCTTTTAGAGATGGGCCGAGTCCTAACATTAAGAATAATAGGGCCCCGAACCAGCCCATTAATTCTCCTTGCTCTAGTCCATCTGGATTTTGGACTCCATCTTCTCTCCAAAGTCCATACCACCCACACTCTTTTGTCTTCCCCTCCACAACGACATCACCCTTTGCAACTCCATATTCGCTCTTCTCACCGCCGTCACGACTAGCACGACTGCACCATTCGTCTCTCTTCCTTGATGATATCCCAAAGCACCCAGGTCCTAAAACCACGACGACACAACCATCTCAATTCTCTCCTCCTCGTCGGCACCACCCATCTCGATTCCTAGATGACAGCACTGCCGTTGTGATCATCATCACCCCATCACCACCGTTGCCTGCTATAATTTTGGTAATTTTGAATTAGGCGTTTGTTATTTATGTGAATTTTTGGTTTACGGATTTAGGGTTTTTGAATCAGGAATGATATAGATTCTGTTCTGGGTTCTAAATTTCTGGTTGGGGAATTTGTAGTTGTCATAATGAAGGTTGTAGGGATGGAATTGTATTCATTTGATATATGTGTGTCTGTTCTTTAATTTTATTAGAGATGGTGCAATATGATCGAAATTGAAATTGAAATTGAATATCCCTTTCATTTGTTTTTCGTATCGTTTTTATTCCACTATGGGCTGTTTTGAATAATCCACTAACATATTTTTCAATTTGATGGAAACATTCAACCGAGAGGAAGCAATATTACAAGTGAAAAAATGATAAAGCCATTTTTTGGTTTTTCTTGCCCATGTACAAAAAAGTCATTCTTCATCGTTCAGTTTAATAGTTTTGTAAGAGAATTTTTTTTCCCAAAGTTTTGTTAAGGGATCCATTGGGAGTTACTCTCTAGCCCCAAGTTTTTGTGAATGTTATTGCAATCTGTCTGTGCTGTGAAACAACTCTTGTAATTTAAAGAAAAATGTCTCTGTCGTTGTGCATTGCAGTGCAGCTTTGAAAAATGTTATTTCTAGAAAGAAAAAAAAGTTGGACCCGTGGACTCGTCTTGAAACATTCAGTTTCAAACAGGTCGGGTTAGGTCCCGTTCCAAAATTCAAAATGCCTCTACCCAGTCCATTTTGCCCCTTTACATTTTAAAATAGGTAGGGTCAGGTTCCTCTAAATTTGGGCCCGGCCCAGCCCAACCTATGCCCACCCCTAGCTGAACATGCTCAAAAGAATAGAATCTCTTATATATATATATATATATATATATATGTATATTATGTAATTCCATTTATTTATAGAATCTCTTATATGATTTAGCTGCCTCTTGCAACTCTTTCACCTTTTTCTTTAGCAATGTCTTGCTTTTCACTATCCCCTTTTCGCTTTGACTCTCCGTGCAATATTTATATTGTCAGTTAGCAATACTACCTTCTTAATTATGCTAATCCATTGTTCTTTATCAAACTCTTACAAGAAACATATTTTAAAGACAATGTCTTCAAATCATACTAAGCTCACCACACCTTACTACTTGACACCTAAATAGGCACGGTTGAGAGCTCTTGTTGAGCATATTCGAAACACTTGTAGACTATCGTTGAATACCAACAACGATTCATGAAGACAATGTCGACCAAATGATCCAAGTGGCTATGCCAAACTTATTGTTGCTATCTACATTAGCAAAGCATCAAAAGATTGAAGTCAAGCAGATCAGATACCAAGACAGTCTTGGCAATCTTTTCACAAAGTCAATGTCGAAGTCTACCTTTATGAAGCTTATCCGAGGAGTTGGATTACCTACACTACCTCATTTGCACTGTTGGTAGTTCTTAGGGGGAGTTTTGTCATCTCAATGTGAATATCTTGTAGTATACTCACTTGGCCTTAATGTACTATTTTTCTTTTAGATCAAAATCATTTTTTCTCACTGGGTTTTTGCTGTCTTGACAAGGTTTTAATGAGGCACATATATTAGACTAGTTATAACCTTGACATGTGCATTTATTGTTGCTTGTTTATCTCAAGTGTCGATATTGCATTAACTCACATTTTCTCCTTAGACTAAGCTTCCCATTGAGCAAGGTTTTGGTGAGACTGTACTTTTATATGGACCCTACTTGTGAGACTTGTGTATGCATTGCCTATGCTTGATGAGAAAGACTTCATCAACTGCTTTCACATTTGCCTGATAACACAATACGACTGCTTGTTTAGTTCTACACATTTAAAGGGGAGTGTTGCAGTTAGTATTATTATAGGAATGTGATTTTAGTGAACTAGAAATAGAAATCCTATAAGATCTAGAAAATCCTTTCCTTATGTGACTTATATTATTTGTAGGACAAGTAAAAACCTGTGATTAGTATAAATAAAGGTATAAGGCCAAGAAAAAAAAAATCATGCTAAGACAGTTAGCCCTTTTTCTCCATCTATCCCCACCATCCCCCTCTATCCCATCTTTCAAATATGAGAAATACTCTCGAATGTGAGACTCTCCATGGACTATTTGTCACAATATCTTTTAATGTTGATACGATAATTGACGTTAAACTGTAAGGTGATAGAAATTACATGAAGAGTCACATTTTAAAAAGAATTATCTCAGAATTTCTCCATGTTATTTCCTACAACAATTTCATTTTTTTTTAATTATCTATGAATACACATCTCATATCAAATTATTAAATCATACCATAAACGGGTGGACTCGTTTCGAGTCCAAATCCATTAACCCCTTCCTTATTTTATTTTTTGAAAAAACGAGGTTAGAATGGAACATAAGACTGAAATCAGTTATAAGTAAAAGAGGAATACTGTAATATTGAGCGGCTGCTTGACCCGTTTTTAAACTTTAGACATTATAATCGACCCAGAAACTGTCCCAACGTTCTGCCAAAACCCTATAAACTAATCGTCCCGTTTTTAGCTCTTCCGCCTCTGACCGTCGTGGCCGCAGATCGGAGCTCCAGTGACTCTGCGGATATGGAGAAACCTCTGGTGGCGCTCGATAAAGGCACCACTTGCTCTTCTTGGAACTACTGCGGCCAGAGATTAGCCACTGGCTCCGTCGACGGAACTCTCGTCGTCTTCGACTCGCGCGACCCGTGCTCTTCCTCCTTGTCCTGCACCTCAAAATCCAAGGTCCCTAATTCCCTCCTGCTTGAATTGATTTCACATTTCAGGAATTAGCCCATTAGCTTTTAATTTTTTTCTGTTGAAGTTTTCAATTCCACTTAAAAGATTGTGTTTTTGTTTTTGAAATGTGTGATTGTTTTTGCTTTAGGTGCACGAGGCTGCTGGCATTGTGAAAATTGCTTGGGTTCCGCCGGAATACGGTGACGCAGTGGCGTGTGTTTGCACAGATGGGACTTTGTCATTGTGGGAGGAAGTTGCTGAAGGTATTTTCATTGAAATTATAATCTTTTCTAACTGAAGCAGTTTAATTTATTAGGGAATTGTGAGGACAATGCTTTTTGAATTTGTTTTCGAGGCGCATTGTGTTTCCTGATGCATATTGAATCACCCATTTCCAAGAACTGGGTATAGGAATTTCACTGCGCATCGTATCTGATTGAAGTTTACGGTTTTTTTTTATTGTCTAGATGCTCAACCTCTTCAATGGAAGCTGTGCACAAGCTTTAACAGCGGTTCGGCTCAACTGCTAGATACCCAGTTTGGAGTCTCAGCGGCAGGTTTAAAAATGGTTAGCTTTTGTTGCTGCTACTGCTTTTCTTTAATTTTGGCATTGCGGTTACAATTTCTAAAATATAAGTTTGTAAGTGAAAAGTTATGCTTCGGATTGCTGACATTTTTTCTTTTCGTTTCATCTAATATGATTTAGGTTCTAGTTTACGTTCAATTGGCACCCTGTACAACATGCTCAATGGGCACTGTGTGAGAGTGAAAAGTGACAAAGTTTAATTTGTTTCGTTTTTATAGGTCACTGCATATTCAGATGGCCGTGTCAAGGTTTATGAGCTACTGGATCCCTTGGAACTGAAGAATTGGCAACTTCAGGTGGATCATTTTATCTGGTTCAGTCTGATAATGTTACTTAGACCATGTAATTTTATTATAATGTTACAATGCAGCTGAATTGGTGCTGAATTTTCCGTTTATGATTATTTTTTCACAAACCCCAACCATTAGAGGTAAGTTCTAGTGGTATAGAATGATGCATTGCGTTTGTGAATATAAAAGGGATGACAGGAGATTTCTTCCCCCAATCCTTCACCTGTTTTTATGAATGAGAATGGACCATAAGCTTCTGTTTCTGTTGCTCTTTCTCTCTTATTTTTGGGGCTCTTTCTCCTGTGTGCTTTTCTTGACATGGTTACACCCTTTTAGTTTTTAAGATTCTTTCTCCGGTTGGGAACGATTCCTTAAAGAATTTTACAGTCTGCAACTACTCTCTGACCTTATTTCATGATCTTGTTGTCCAGGCTGAATTTCAGAATGTTATTGATTCGGTGTCTACAGTTGGCCCTGCCATGTGCTTATCTGCATCTATATCTTGGAATCCACAAGGAGGAGAAAGCCAGGAATCAAGTTTTGTTTTGGGTTTCAGTTCAAACACACCACAACTTAATTCCGCCAAGGTATGATAAATTCTTTTTTATCATTCATTTACATCCACAGGCCACATCAATGTTGCAGGTGTTGCGTATATGACTTCTTTTGTTTGATATATTTTGTTTTGTACAAAATCTTATGATTGTACTTTACAGGTATGGGAATTTGATCAGGCTCATCAAAGATGGCTCCCAGTTGCAGAGTTGGCCTCGCCTGGTGACAACGATAATCAGGTTTATGCAGTTGCGTGGGCAACGAACATTGGAAGGTAGGGAATTGTCTCATTGCTCATGCAAGCACTGTTTACTAATGGTTAGGAATTTGAGCATTTCTGTTTTATGTCTTCATAAAATTGGAAAAAATGGCTTCGTTTTATTTTTATATCAGAGAGTGATTTGTATAAATTTTGTTCAGGCCGTATGAGGTAATTGCCGTTGCCACTCACAAGGGAATATCAATATGGCATCTTGGGCTAAACCCTGACTCTGATGGAAGACTCTCATTGGAGAAGATTGGAGTACTTTCGGGTCACAAAGGCGAGGTAATAATAAAACTATCGAAAATGTTATCAATCAATTAATTTGGAACGGAAATTGATATTAACAATGTGTGTGTTGGGTATACGATTGTAGATGCTTAAGAGGGCAAAATGTTTATTACCTCAGAGAGCAGGGCTATGAACCTTCCTAATTGATTGATGTCCTCATGTTGTGATCAGGTCTGGCAGATGGAATGGGACATGAGTGGAATGACATTGGCGACCACCGGGAATGATGGGTCAGTGCGGTTGTGGCAGTCTAGTTTGAACGGAGTTTGGCATGAAGAGGCTACTTTTGAACCCACGTTGTAGTCCCTCAGTTTTTACATGTTAGTGAATTCACTGTTCGAACTTTATTGATTGTAACTTTACATATTGGTTCAAATGATTCACAGTTGAAATTTGATGTTGGAAATTGGGAATCATTCTCGCTTTCGGCTGTCTCTTTCGTACGGCCTGTTTCTTTAGAAACGTAAAGGAGGGAAACAAATGAATGGGGAAATCCAAACATCATTGAATTGAAACAGTAATTTAGTTTTCATGTTTGGTCTCGAAACAAAACTGTTGTTGGGTCAAATTTTGATATGTGACCGCTGTGGGACGACGGTGAGACATCGGTATTTTTTTTCTGAACAATCTTACATTAGGTTACCGCGTCGAGAAGTTGTCTGATAATAAGACAGCACACAAATAACCCTCGGTGTTATCTCGTCTATTTTCTTCCCTAATCACAAGCACTGCCCAGCGCCATTGAGGCATTTCATCAAGCACCTGAACAACACATGTGAGAGAATAACTTACGTACAACGGATTTAACGCGTGGCATTCTGATTCAATAATACATAGGCATGTCTAAATTTTCCTTTACATACCAATGCATTATTCAATCAGAACGTCATGTGACGTGAGCCCTTTACGTAAGTCCTCCACATTTCAAGGGAAATCCAACGGGTATAAATCCACATTTCAAAGCCCTACCCGCTTACACTGGTAGGAGGATTATCTATCATCCTAATCTCTCTACGCTCTCCTATTAGAGTGGTCACGGATAAACCACGTTAACATCTTATATTAATTTCTTTTTATAAAAATAATAAGATAAAAAATAATATGTAAGAGGAGGGGATGAAATTGGATGGGAACAGGAGGGTAGAGAATCCTCATCTTTTGATGATAACAAAATCCTAACTGTCATCTCCTACCACACCCACTCTAAACACTCACTCCACGTCTCTCTCTCCTCAATGACTATCACCTGCACTCAATCTCTCTGTAAATCCCCCGCCTTTCTTCTCCCTCCTACTTTCCCGGGTTCCCCTTGTTTCACTAGGAGCCCCGAACCGAACCCATTTTCCAGAAACAGAGAATCCAAGTTTTACACAGAGAGAAGGATCGGCAGTCAAAACAGAAGAGGTGGGGGTGGGAGTGTCTGCGGGGTGGTGGTATTCCCAATTGATCCATGGGCGCCCAGCATTGACTCACAGAGCATAGCTTCCCAGCTGTTTGCAGCTTCTCTGTTTCCCTACCTGGGTTTCTTGTACTTCATCACCAAATCCAAGTCTGCCCCTAAGCTCACCCTCTTCGGGTTCTACTTCTTGCTTGCCTTTGTGGGGGCCACCAGTGAGTTTTTCCAATCTTCCTATTACCTTTTTTATTTTTGAATTTTTTATGGCTTCCTGGGTTTTTGATAATTAATCCTTTTTTGAGTTGCTTAATTTAGCATTGTTAAGCTCTCCATGTCCATGTGGTTAATTTCTGATAATTTGAGAAACATATTAACAAGGTGTTGGTTTCCATATTGCACATTGGTCTGTTTACGGAGAAGAACTTACATGCAAATGAAGACGCCAAGGTGGCGATATCTCAAACCAGTCGTGCGATACTATGTGAACTATACCATTCAAGCGATGCTACTGAACTAGTTAGAAGACATGACGTTTGCGTGATAGGTTTAGGATAGGATGCCGCCACTTTGGTGTCCCTGTTGCATGTTAGGTTGTCTCAAACCGAGAAGACAATGCTTGGGTTTCTATGAGCACATTCAATTGCCCCTCCAAAAACTCACTCCAGTTGGAATGTTATGCTTCATGTTGAATTTGGCCAAATATTGTAACTTCTTTACTGTTAACCGCTCAGTTTCGATCTACTGACATCCTTCGTTTTGTTGTTTGATTTCCTCTCATCAACTGAGCAGTTCCTGCTGGAATTTACGGTAAGTTTTCATGTTTAAGAAACTGAAAGTGTTATGCATTCATAACAATCAAATTCATGAATCGATGCCTTACTTAATGTGGTTATTTGGCTGAACAGCAAAGGTGAACTATGGCACTTCATTGGCAAATGTCGATTGGTTGCATGGCGGGGCTGAGGCACTTCTCACTCTGACCAACATTTTTATTGTGTTGGGGTTGAGAGGAGCTCTTAGAGAAGCTGGGGATGCAGAAGAAGGAACATCAACTCCTATTCCCGGGTTGAAGGACGAGACCGAAACTTCTGCTTAGGTGCAGCAGACGGCTTTCCCTTATGTTCATTCACTGTATGTAGAGTTGCAACGTCTTTACTGCTTTTTTTTTTTTTTTTTTTTGTGGAGTCTTGAATATTGTCAATCTACAGTCATATATTTGCTTATATTCCTACAATATCCTTATCTTTCTGATTCTGTTGTGTTGTTTTTTAACTAAGCACATGACCCGCCCCTCCGAGTCTCTGAAAGTTTGTTATGTTTTGAGCGAAATGTTGTAGGATCTTCACTTATCCTATCTGAACTGCTACTATATTCTTAACCAAAACGTCTCAATTGGAATTTAAAAAGGAAAAAACTTCGAAAACTTGTCGATGCTATGCTGACTAACCTATCCCATGGCCAACATCACAAAAAGCTCTTATCTTTTACTAGAAATCTTCCTCTTTTATAATACATGTGTTGATTCAAGATGTGAAACAAACTAGTGGCAGTCTTGATGCTACTTATTCTTATTCTCAAAGACCAAGTAGAATTATAAGAAAAATCCTGGGCAGTCAAATGGGAAATAAGAGTCGAGTTCCACTGGCTCCAGTGAAAAATCAATGTCCGGAATCGAAGAATTGGTTGACGAATTTTTGGCTGCGGTGATCTCTGCAAGATCAGATTCCGAACGTTGCTCTTTTCCTGCAATGTTTCTCATCTGACTTGCCGGCTCAAAGTAATTGTTTGATCCGCCTGCAGCCGGAGATAGCAATGATTGATTGAAATTGTCCAAAAGACTGTTATCATCAAGCATCAATGAATGAAAGGCGTCATCGTTGTTCATACATCCGAATGAAGTTGAAGTAAAAGAGAATGGAGAAGCCATGTTCTCTCTGTCGTCCAAGTTCTCAGTATTGACCCTCAGATTAGTTGGGAAGCTGATTTGATTTCCTTGAGACTGCTGTTGTTGATAAGTATCGTTATGATTGTGTCCTTTTTGCTCTTGCTTTTCTGGTGATGGTGGCGGTGGAACTGAACTGCGGCCATGAGAACATGTATGCTTCCCTTTGTACGTGATTTCGAAGACAGTGGGGTCTTCATCCGACCTTTGCACTTGCTTTGTAGCCCAACAACTTTCCGAGTTCCGGTACGTGCATCTGTAATAGCTTCTGCAGATTTATACAAATTGATCATCAGAATTGTTCATAACAATGTGAAACTTTCTATTTTGCAGAAGAAGACTGGTTTGTTTCTTACCTATCAAGGATGATTCAATTTTTTATCAAACTCTTCCGTTTTGTGGGAGGACGTGTAAAAGGTAATGTATTTTATGTCTCTTTTCGACGCGTGGCTTCGTGACTGTTATTGCAAATGATTGCAGCAGGATAAGATTAACTGATTAAATAAAACAAGATCCTTAATTTACCTCGGATGTTTGGTTCCTAGGATGTCTTTCTGCCCATATTTTCTCCAGCAGTGGCCATCTTCATGGTCTCCTTCCATCCCATTCTCAGAGCTAACTCTCGTGACATGTTCTGTCCATTTGGCCATTTCCTTTCTGCAATTTGTAAATCCAAATCAGCATTTGGTTCTTTGTGATTACACTCGTTTGGTGGTTAGGATTAGAACGGATTGGATAACTCACCAGATGGATTCGTGACGAAGAAACTTATCCCTCCCAATCCTACCATGGGAATTGGAAGGGTTAGTTTTCTTTCGTCGCTAATCCATCGTCTACATTCAACTTGGACGTTGGCATCCGTTTCTTCATTCAACATTGTATAGAATTTAGTACGTTATCCAGCATAATCCTTGACACCAAACGAGGCCAGTTTTTTACTTTATTGTTAGTCCAGTCTCACCTTTTCTTGGAGACCTCTGTGAGGTCATGACGATCCTGGAGACTTCTGTTGTTGTCATCGCAACAGGGGCCTGCGCTGGCTGACATTTGCAACTCCGGCACGCTTGTTATTGCCCCGATAGGACTTTGTGGCGAACCGCTACATTTCAGCATCAGAAGGGCCTTCTCATATGACGACAGTATCTTCTGCACTAAAAATTGCTTCTTTTCAGATGACGATTTTGCATTCAGACTTAGCCTCAACTGTTTTGCTAGCTCCAATCCTTCAATGATCGCATTGACCAGTGACTGCTGGTCCGAGCTCTTACTGGAATCCATATTTCACTTGTATATGTCGATTGGGTTACGAGCAATGTTGTTTGTTTATGATACAAGCGATACTGGGGAAGAGAGGATTTGAACGCAGGACCTCAGACGCTCTTAATCATTACAAGTCCCATGCAAGATTCTGAGCGGTGTTTACACATCTCCATCACACTGAATCTTCCCGACTCCGAGATAGAGTAGAAGCCAAGGAGTTCGGAAGCTCCGAAACGTTGTTTGTAGTAACAAGGTTGACGCATGGAATTGGTATCCAGAAAATTTGGAGTGAGGAAATGGGAACAAGAAGAAGATGAGAGTAGTGGAGCTGCAGAAGCAAAGACTGGGAGAGTTGCATTTACAAGGAAAGTGGAGAGTTTGTATATATAACATCGCTTAATTGTTGGAATAACCAAGTGAAAATTTGGAGAGTGGAAAGTCTGCAGTTTTGACTGAGAAACCGAGTTTTTCAGCTCTGACCGATCTTTGGGTCCGCATATAGGAAAAGTAAGGTCTATGCAGACCAGTCCAACTTCTTCCATTCTCTCTCTCCCTCGCTCCCCCTCTCTTTGCGATTTGTCTTTGTGATATTGTGTCACCTGATGTTATTTATTTATAGATCATAATATGAATAGGCGATAACAAGAATACATTAAAAACTTGACATATTACGTAAATACGTATTTTATGTTATAAAAGAATTAGTAACAATATGTGACTGTGCTGCTGTTATGCTCAAATATTTAGTATTAATTTGGTACATTCCCACTTCCCCATTTCCTGGTAGATTCTGCTTCTTGTTTATAGGTTTTTTTTTTCTTTTTTTCTTGGAAGAAGATATACCTTTTAGGTTTTAATTGGTGATTCTAGAACATCAGATGCAGCCGCGTTTGTGTGGAAAAAAAAAAAGTGAAAAACTCTCTGGTATTTGCTTATTGGTCAACAGGTTTGGAGCACTTGGTCATTCTTATGTGACGAAATTATTGACCATGTTTCTTATACTTTTCTACTGTTGATGATATTTATATATTCTTGTCTAAAAAAATGTATTTTAATAATGACAAGATTAATCCTAAGATTAGCATGTTTTACTCATGACTGTGGATATAATATTTAATTACTCATAACGCGTTTTTAATCCATAAGCATCTAAATCAAAAACAGTAAATAAGGTGAAAATTATTTGAAATAGAACGAAATGTCTTAATTGTCATGTGTCACAATATCCACCATACAAAAATAAAATCCGTACCATTCGTCTTGATGGTACCGACCACCAAGGGACAGGATTACATAAACTTTGTAACCAAAATAAAGCCAGCTGAGGTATTGAATTTCGATTATTAAGGAATAAGAATAACATAGTTAGGCAGGATTTAGGACCATATTTAAATTCTAATGTAATCTTCTATTTGTTATGTAATCTCTCAAGTTGCAAAAATATCTATTAAGGAATAAGAATAACATAGTTAGGCAGGATTTAGGACCATATTTAAATTCTAATGTAATCTTCTATTTGTTATGTGATCTCTCAAGTTGCAAAAATATCTATGTGATATCATATGTCAATCTTACTTTTGTGATGAGAAAAATCTTGATGAAAACTTTGTTGTCTAAGTGTTTTACAAATCTCATTCCAAATTGAACTTTCCATCTAAATTAGTTTTGGGATGAAATCTCAACTTTTAGCACATGTGTAAAGAGGAATATTTCATTTAAGCCGTTGAAACGTATTTTGGTCATCGAAAACAATAAAAAAAGATTGTGTGTATATCATTTCTCACATCATTTTTGATTAATTTCGATAAAAGAGATTAGGCCACAAAGAATCTGACCCGCAATCAAATGCCACCCGGAATTTGATAAGAGACTCCCATAAACAAAAGATGATGTAATTAATCGAAAAAGCGTTCATACTAGAGGAAAATAGAGACCCCAAATATATAGAGCTTGTACAAACACAAAAGAATAACCTCTATATCAAATGATAAAAAAAAACAACTAAACTTTTAGTCAAGTAACATATCGCTACCAAATATTAAAATATGCCCAAAATTTGGATCTCCTTCTTTTGGTAATATATTTATGGGTTCATTAGAGAAAGACTCTCCTAACTTTTTTTTTTTTTTTTTTTGCCTTATAATGAGCTTGTCATAATAATGTGATTCAACTTTATATTTGGTGAGAATCGAACTTAAGACATCTCACTTATAAGTGAATAGGAATACCACTAGACTGTAACACTAAGTGGCAGACCCTTGTAACTCTTACCTCTTAAACATAAACTCATCTATAAAAAACATGTTAATCAACACTTAAGTAATAATTTAATTATTAGCAACCACGTTAGATGGTTTACAAACGGAAAAAGAAATAACCTATTATTAGAAGTTATGTACAGCTTATGCCACAATACCCTAGTTATGTCAATGAATCTTTCGGGTATTGCTAGGGATACCATCAATTTTAAACCGTATTTTGTAAACCATATGACATGGTTGTTGATAAATGAATTATTACTTAAGTATTAACGTGCTTTCAACTTAGTACTACGGTTTAGTGGTATTCCTCTTCACTTGTAAGTGAGAAGTCTTAGGTTCGATTATTGCCAAAGGTGAATTTGAACCACATTATTACTACCCCATTGTGAGGCTAAGCCTACATCTTCACTGTCACATCTCGGCCCAGGCCCCCGCCACATCTCGGGCTCGACTCCACCGTAGCATGATATTGTCCGCTTTGGGCCCCGACCACGCCCTCACGGTTTTGTTTCTGGGAACTCACACGAGAACTTCCCAGTGGGTCACCCATCTTGGGTATTGCTAGGGATACCATCAATTTCAAACCGTATTTTGTAAACCATATGACGTGGTTGTTGATAAGTGAATTATTACTTAAGTATTAACGTGCTTGCAACTTAGTACTACGGTTTAGTGGTATTCCTCTTCACTTGTAAGTGAGAAGTCTTAGGTTCAATTATTGTCAAAGATGAATTTGAACCACATTATTACTACCCCATTGTGAGGCTAAGCCTACCCCCTCACGGTCA